TAGCAAGCTTGTTTACAAAGCTGCTCACATCTACGTGAAACAGGTGTTGTGGGAAATTATGTTCCCCTGCAATATTCGGTTTCCCTTAGGCAATCAAGAGCAAATATTTCCAAATTCACATTATTTATTGTCCATTATGAGGACTAAACAACCTCGAATAAAAGATGGTTAAAATGAGTGAGATCACATCCTTTTACTTACCTTTCAAAAACGATAAATAAGCTTGTAAAGAGTGAACAGGAATGTTTTTACTGTACCTTTTTTATTGTTTTTAGGAGGACATATAGATATAAAAACATCACAAGCATAACATTATTACATTACATTACATCATTTTTTGTAAAAGTCGATCACGAATATTGTGAAGATAGCCTGAACTGCGAACTCCCGACACAGGGGGACAGAATATTGTAGGGCAACATAGTTTCTCACAACACCTGACCTCCCGGCTTACGTCACCCCTCCTCCACGTGTGAATCGCGACGATTTCAAGATCTAACAGAACTAGCTTTCTTCCTTCAGGGCTGGTAGGTTGATAAACATCATAATTAATCATGCTTTTTTAACTTTGTGTGGGTTAGGCTAGAGAGATTTGAAACTGATTATACTATCAAACTCATGAGTGGGCCACCGTAGCTGCAATACTTTCTCTGAACTGCACAGCACTAAATAGTCGCATTTACATAGGGCCTTAAAGTATTTGTTTAGGAAAAGGATGTACTTGTTTCTTCTTCAACAGTGTATGGCATACTGCCCTGTTGACTGAAATCTGTAGCAGCAAGTATGTGACGTTGTTCATTGTCCAATAGCATGTGGAGGCAGTTTCAGGCCCTGTCCACTCGTAGCCGGGGATCTGCCAAAACGTAGATATTTTTCTACGTTTTGGCCTGTCATCCACACGAAAACGGAGATTTTTCACACGAAAACGGATCTTTTTAAAAACTCCGGCCAAAGTGAAGATCTGCGTTTTCTCCGTTTTGGGTGTCTGCGTGTGGACAGACAAAACCGGAGTTTTAAGGTCCGCAACGTCACTTTCCGCCACAAAAAAATGCTGACATCACGTGTGCGACCTGTGTTTACACTAGCCGACAGCGTGGATGCCCTCAGAGCTGCGCTCGCTTTATCAATTGTCCAAGCGCTTTTTGCTTGTTTGTTTTTGCAAGAGGAATTACTGCTCCTTGCGGAAGACCACAGACGAAGGACGAGGTTAAGAACGGGGGAAGTACTGCCGCCTACAGGTCTGGCATGTCCTTAACAACGTATTTATCCGGGTACGTGTGGACAGAGTTTTTTTAAACGAGGTGGTATGGATGAAAGTTTTTGGAGGGGCGGATATTCGTTTTTTTTTTAAAGTGGGCAAAGTGTGGACTAGGCCTTAAAGACAACCGTAGATCCCGCCCTACAACTGCGCTCTGTGGATCGTGGCCAGTGTATATATTTACATACGGCTTGCCAGGCCATCGTCTCCCTGCATTAAAAAGAAAAAACAATTTGTTCTGACAACAAGATGACTTTCCTTCTTCATGTGTGTGAAATATGTTTGTTTTTAATAAACAGATTTGCCGTTTTGTTTCTCTGCTTTATCACCAGTAAGTTATAGCGGCAGGTGTTCAGGTCTGATCCCTGAAATGTTGGTCTGCACCACGAACAGCATTAAACACTTTTCTGCTGCACGTTGCTGCGAGGCTTGACGCTGTACACTACGCAGCAGCAGCAGCACACATGGGAAGTGAAATCAGGGTTGATGCTAATTATGAAGGGGGTGGCCTGCTGAGGAGTGGTGTAACAGTTCTGCTGGGTGTCCGTGAAAAACCACCACCAGTGTGTGAGATTAATAATGCAAAGTCACCTCTGATATGTTTAACCTGCAGAGCTTCAATTATTGATCGTGACCCGGCCATGTAAGTGGAGGGAAACGAAGAAGAGGAGGGACGCCAACACGTACAGGGTTAGGGTTTAATTCCTTCACACTAATCAGCCATATTTAGGAGTCCTTCACCAGGCAGTCACACAAGCGGCTGAGGCCACAGCAGCTGCTGCTCGCTTTCTCGTATAAATGTGTTTTCAGGCTTTCTTGTTTTCCCCAACCATTTTCTGAACTGCTTCGTCTTCACTAGGGAGCTGGTGCCAACTCCAGGTGTCAACATGCGAGATGAAGCCCATCACAGGGACACAAGCAGTCACACACTCACCTTTACTACATTGATACTTTCCATGTGTGACTATGCTTACTATGTTACAAAATGCTATTCAATTCAATTCAATTCAAGTTTATTTAGATAGCTCAAGGCACTTCACATAATAAACATTCCAATTCACAGTTCATTAAGCCAATCAGAAATAATGTTTCCTATGGAAGGAACCCAGTGACCTGATGCAATCCTCATACTAAGCAAGCATGCAGCGACAGTGGAGAGGAAAACTCCCTTTTAACAGGAAGAAACCTCCAGAGAATCCTGGCTCAGCATAAGCAGCCATCCTCCACGACTCACTGGGGATCGAGAAGACAGAGCAGACACACACACACACACACACACACACACACACACACACACACACACACACACACACACACACACACACACACACACACACACAATAATGTGTCTATATTAACATGCATTGTATTCAGAAGTTGATTTCCCTGTTATTCAATATGTCAATATTGTAAAAAATAAAAAAGGCAATCCTGTTTTAAAAATCAAAATAAATGAAACCTGGTTTGTTTTTTAACTCTCAGATACTGTCAGAAACAGAAATAACATTTACTCCTTTTCTGATTCATTGACTCATTTTTTTAGATAATTTTTTAATTTTTTGCTCATGAAATTTACGTTTTGCTTTACTAGTAAATAACTGCAGGTAAAATAATGCTTTGCTGTGATTTTTGTTGACAATATTAAAATTAGGTTAGAGGTTTATCCTTTTTTCCTGGATCAGCGGATCCACGGGTCTGATGGCTGTTCACAACACAGAGCAGAATAAGAGAGAGATGGAGAGCTTTCAAATTGTGTTTTATTACTAAACGGGACAATCGGCTGAAACTGTTGAGGAAACTTTGTTTAAACTAAATCACAGCAGATGTCCAGAGTTTGGAAGCCTGTGTTCATCGTGCGTTAATAAACAAACATATTTAATTAGCTCTAACAAGCTGTTAATGCACATAGGACTTTACAGTCACCCAGAATAATTTACTGAGGATGTTTTCTGCTCAGCATCAGACTCCTTAAACCCAAACTAGGTCTGTATAACCGACGTCACCCCATCTTATTTACAAGCACGTCTTCATCCCCGCTCCGGCAGCAGCCACTGAGATCAAAGCTGACAGAAATGGGGACCTGTGCTGCAAACCCCCACAATTACTCTGCATATTTCATTTCATGTGTGCCAGAGGATTTGTGCAGTTATCACATTTTTATTTTACTCCCACGAAAGGCAAATTCTAGCTGAGATATTACAGAAAATCTGGACGGTTTGCAATCAAATTTGAAAGCCGTCTCTCATTAATTACATTTGAAGTCTGGAATGATGGCTGGCTGGCTAATACTCTGCTTGCAGGCGAGCGACTCTCAAGTGCGTCACGAGCTACTGGCACCTCGTGAGCAACGTGCAGGAGACCCCTGGTTTAGAGTGTCCTATCAACCTACAAAAGACTTCAGCAAACAAGCTTTTGGTGTAATAAGGTGCCTTTTAGCGGGATAAAATCATCAACACAAGAAAGGTAGACCAGGAGGCTACTCCATTCAATGTTTAAAATCTAAACATATAGGATCCCATTTACAAGAGCTGGTGAATTACTTTTGGAACCAGTCTGAGCCCTTGGTGTGAATCAGAATCTTCTGTTCACACAGACTTGGGCCTAGTCCACACGTAGCCGGGTTGTTTTACAAACGGATATCCGCCCCTCCAAAAACTTGCATCCACACCACCTCGTTTTAAAAAAAAACTGTCCACACGTACCCGGATAAATACGTTGTTAAGGACATGCCAGACCTGTAGGCGGCAGTACTTCCCCCGTTCTTAACCTCGTCCTTCGTCTGTGGTCTTCCGCAAGGAGCAGTAATTCCGCTTGCAAAAACAAACAAGCAAAAAGCGCTTGGACAATTGATAAAGCGAGCGCAGCTCTGAGGGCATCCATGCTGTCGGCTAGTGTAAACACAGGTCGCACACGTGATGTCAGCATTTTTTTGTCGCGGAAAGTGACGTTGCGGACCTTAAAACTCCGGTTTTGTCTGTCCACACGCAGACACCCAAAACGGAGAAAACGCAGATCTTCACTTTGGCCGGAGTTTTTAACCCTTTGATGCATAATGGTCACTACAGTGGACAGGTACTCAGAATTGTTATTTATTTGTTTTTGCTATTAAGCACAGCTGTTGAAGACTTTATTGTATTTGAGCCCCTCCATTTGGACTTCAGTAAACCAAGCCAACACATTTCATGCTCAGAATGCACGCTGTCCACTGAGGTGGACATGTAATAAATTATTTGTAAATTATAAAATTTTACAAAAAAATATTTGTTGAAATTTGTTTCATTCACACCTAAAGATGAATGAAAAAAATTGTTTAAAAAAATCATGGTTGAAGATTTCATAATTCATGCATCAAAGGGTTAAAAAGATCCGTTTTCGTGTGAAAAAACTCCGTTTTCGTGTGGATGACAGGCCAAAACGTAGAAAAGTGTCTAAGTTTTGGCAGTTCCCCGGCTACGTGTGGACAGGGCCTAAATGTCCCATCTTCTCACTGGACTGATATTTTATTAACATTTTTTGTTAAAACTCAAAGACTAAGTTCAGATTATCCTACTGTCTCTCTGGGCCTGCTCATGGAGGACTCAGTTCAGACGAAAGTGAGAAAACTCACCAACATTTAGAGACATTCAGGAAGCTCCTCGTGTAAACTTGTTCATCAGAGTGCGACTGAGCTGAGACTGATGCAGACTTTTAGCAGTTTGCTACTAACTTATCTGAACATGTCTTGTTCCCTCTTGTCACTCAGAGGTGATCCAGATAAATGTGACATCTGGGGGAACACGCCACTTCACCTGGCTGCTGCTAACGGACACCTCAACTGTCTGTCCTTCCTGGTGGCTTTTGGTGCCAACGTGTGGTGTCTGGATAATGACTACCACACACCGCTGGATATGGCTGCCACCAAGGGACACATGGACTGTGTTCGCTATTTGGACTCTATCGCTGCCAAGCAGATCACCCTCAACCCGAAGCTGGTCAGCAAACTCAAAGACAAAGCGTTTCGGGCGGCTGAGCGCCGGATCAAAGACTGCGAGAAGCTCCAAAGGAAACACCATGAGAATATGGAGAGGAAGTTCATGAAAGAGTCGTCTGCTTTTGACAACCTGGATGCTATTAGCTTCTCCAGCTACACCAGCAGCAGTACACTGAGCCGCAAGTTTAACACCGTTACTTCCAACATGCCATACTCGCAGGTGGTTGGTCCTTTTGTTCAAATGTATGAATCATCAAAGACAGATGTTTGCTTTGGAAAATGTGAAGACATTTTTTTCTCACCAAAATGCAGTTTTCATGTGAATCAGAGATGGAAACTCTTCAGTTAAAGTTGATTTAGTGAAATTCTCTTAAGTTAGAGCAAACAGGCTCAGAAGGGCTGGACGTGGTCTCTGTTGGAGTAAAAATATTTACCTTTAACATTTCCAGCTTTGCAGTTTCACAGTTTCTAAATGTCTTCTTTCTTTTTAGGCAACTCTGCATTCGACAGCCAAGGGCAAAGCCAAGATACAGAAGAAACTAGAGAAGAAGAAGCATGTCGATGGAACATTTAAGATCTACGAGGATGGACGGAAAAGTGTGCGCTCGCTGTCTGGACTGCAGCTGGGAAATGACGTAATGTTCGTCAAGCAAGGAACCTACGCCAACCCCAGGGAGCGAACCCGTCTCAACATCCGGGACATGTTTCCCGGTGAAAACGATGACGCTGAGCCCGTCTCTCGTGCCATGAGCGACCCTGGCCTCTACGAGGCTGCGTATTCCGAGATCAGTGCTGATTCTGGACGAGATTCCCTGTTCACCCGTCCTGGGCTTGGCACCATGGTGTTCAGGAGGAACTATATGACAGCAGGAATGTTTGGGATTGGAAGACGGGAGGAAGGAAGCATGGTAGGAAGTGAACCTACTGGCAGAGCGCCTAATGTTCGCCTGAGAGGTCAGCTGCCGCGACACTCCCCCAGCTTTGACGAGGAAAGCATTGGCAGTGCCTACAGCCTACAGGAAAGGAACCTGCAGGAGCTGCCCTGGGAGGAAACGGATGTTGGGCTGGACGAGGACATGGAGCCTGAGAACAGTTCTCTAGAGACCTTCTTAGCATCTCAAGGCTTCAGTGAGTTCATGTCCATCTTCAGCAGGGAGAAAATCGACCTGGAGGCTCTGCTGCTTTGTTCAGAAAAAGACCTCGCCAGTATTCACATCCCGTTAGGTCCCAGAAAAAAACTGCTGGACGCCTGCAAGAGACGTCTGGACACATTAGAGGACCCAGAGACAATAGAAGACACTGAACTCTGACTCTTGTCGGTTTAGTTTCAAATAAATGCACCAGGAATTGAATTCCCTCTGTGTCATGGTCTGGAACAGGAAACAGGAAGTGATTTAACTATAATAACCACCGTTTAAAAATTCAACTGTCAACTAATAAAAATACTTTCATCACTACAAACTGTAACTTAACTAATCTATTATATTTCCCAGTAACGTTCCGGTAACTCACCACTGACAGCAGCTCTTCCTCCAGCTTCAGAGCTGTTTTTTTACTGGTAGAAGTGCACCATCTAGTGGTAGTTGGTTAAATCTACACAAAGTCCAAGATAGATTAGGGTGTTAACAAAAAAAATGCTATTTTTCCCACAAACGTGTGTGTTCATCGTTGTTTTGTTTTGGGGATGAATGGTGGTGCAGCACTGTTGACTTGCAGAAAGAAGGTTGCAGGTTCAAAACCCAGCTTTAGCTGTTCTCATGCATGTGTGCAATTTCTCTGACTCCAGTTTCCTTCCACCGACTAAAAAACGTGTTAGGCTACTTGACTATATTGTCCTCCAGGTGTGAGTGAGTGTGGGTAACTGGTTGTCTCTGTATGGCTCTGTGATGGACTGGAGACCTGTCCAGGGTGCCCCCCACTTCTTGCCTGGTGACTGATGGAGTTAAACACCAGGGGTCTCGTTTATCAAACATTACGTAGAATTCTTACTAAAACGATACTTAAGCTCAGCAAAAAATGTACTCACGCCAAGTAGGTTTGTGATCTATCAAACATGGAGTACGCACAGCTGCACACAATCTCCGCTTCATAAATCAGAAACTATCTAGAAAGGTTCTCAGCTGCATTTTAGTCACATCCGGCCCTCACCACGCCCACTTACTGCCATAAATAGTCAATGCAAAGTGCCTTGTGGATCTCATGCATAGACATAAGCCGGCTGTTGCAGCGCTCCGCCAGTGACGATGGCGACCGTAGATCAAGACAGATCAAGGAAGCACAATTTCACAGAAGCAGAAATCGAGGTACTTGTGGGTGAGGTGGAGAAATGAAAGGAAGTGCTTTTGCAAAACAAATAATGAAAATCCACGGAGTGGCACAGCGTTGCTGAAGCCGTCAATGTTGTGATTTCTTCAGAGATCTGTGGTGGATATTAAAAAATGGTCCAATCAGGATTCAATCCCCAGACTCCTAGGTGAAAGTCACACACGCTAACCAGTCAACCAAACAGAGATCTCCCCCGTACAAGTAGCCAGGGCGCATAATCAATCGGGTCACAGTGACAGGACACTCACACTGTCACAGACGCATGACATTCTGTCTAAACCTGTCTCCCTGCTGATATTCAGCATTCCGTATTCTGTGCTTCAGGCTGTGTGTGAGTGCGTGCACGTGTGTGAGTGTGCGTGCATGTGTGTACATGCGTGTGTGAGTGTGGGGGAGTCTTGTTCTGTGTGAAAACGAAGCAGTACAAGTGATAATGCTGCAGGATTTCATCATTATATCCTTCTCAGCAGCAGCACTGCAGGTGCTCTCCATGTCCAAAATGTGCGTAAGCCAGGTCCTTAGTCAACTTAAAGTTGTGCACATTTTTCCACTAAGTTTTCTTTCATAAATCCCAAAGTTTGCGTGGAAAGTTGCTTATACAGTTTTCCGACCCCGTTTTGTGCGTAAGCAAGCTTGATAAATGAGGCCCCTGCACTGGCACAGTAAGGTACTCCGCTTTACCAATCTATCAGCCTAAGCTGTCACAACAAGAACGGCTGAAAAATAATGATTTTCTTGTATTTTTGCATTCTGTTTTACTGTGTCAATCCAAACAGCTGAACCCTTTTACTGATTTGCTTTCTCACACACGGGCTCGACTGTGTGTGTGTGTGTGTGTGCGTGCGTGTGTGTGTGCGTGTGCGTGCATGCGTGTGTGTGTGTGTGTGTGTGATGAAAAGCCCTCAAACTGATTGAAGCACACCTGTGTCCTGGTGAGGTTGTGTGATATCTCAGGTTTCTCCACATCGGATTTAGTTTCCCTGAGTGTTTGTCTCCAGTTGTACCTGGAGAATCATCCGACATGAATGCTCATCTTTGTAAGAATCTGGTGATTTACCCACAAGCCAAAATCCTTTAAAAATAAATTAGTGGAATTTTTTACATTTGTGTCACTTGCACCTTGTTTTGCTGTGTGTGTGTCGTGTTACGTTCCAGTCTTTGGATCTCTTTTACTTAATTTTTTTTTCACAAGCACAATATTTTGTGTCATCCTGGAACATGCTTATACTTGTGAGAACTTATATATATATATGTGTGTGTGTATATATATATATATTTTTTTTTTACACATACACACACATATATATATATTTACACATATACTGACAAAAATATTCATGCAACACTCTTGTTTTTGCTCCCATTGCATATGAGCTGAACTCAATGCAAAATTTGTCTACTCAAAAGGCCCATGACTCTCAAATATTATTCTGAAATCAGCTTTCAGGAATTGTGTACAAATTCTTGCAATATGGGGCCGTGCGTTATCATGCTGCAACATTAGGTAATAGCTGGATGAATAAAGAGGATTTATATGAGGACAGAGTCAGGGGAGGGAAAAAAGGCACCTCAGAGGTACCCCCGACAGAGAGGATGGCTTTACTATGCAAAAAAACACCCCAGACAGATATGCACACAGACTTCAGACGATACACAACATGTGTACACACAAGTGTCCACTAGGTGGGGAGGTAGCGTTGGGACTCTCCTCACTTCAGGGCGTGCAGCCACAAGAGCAGCGCTCATCACCTCCATTTGGACAGGGGAGGGAGATAATGGGTTAGAGACTCCTAGATATGGTTCCACGGCCTTCACCGGTCACAGTCCCGCCCAGGCTGGTATACGGAGAAAGGGTTTCCATAGCAACGGCAGCATTCCACATTTCTTCTGAGGGGGAGTTTTCACTTCAGCCTGGGCACCAGATTCGGATAAGAATTGTTTTGGGTACAGAGATCATTTCCTCTCTGCTTTAGAGTTCTGTCGGTCTTCAACCCCTCCAGGTCCAATAATGGTGTTATCAAACTTTTCCAATCCGTGCTGATCCGTCAGCTCTTTCCTTGATCGAATCAACCTTCTGTGCCAGAGCCTGAACCTCAGCCAAAGTTCCAAGCTTACGACTCATCTCGACAATTATATGAGTTTGTGAGTTCACAGCGCGATGCATTCCATCCCTGAGCTCTGGGATTAAGCCAATATTCCTCGAAAGCTCGCTAATTTTCCGGTTTGTCACAAAACCTTTAGTTTCCTTTCAGAATCAACATATTCTATGAGATACCATACCATAGAATACTCCCTCAACTGTGGGCCATTGATTGCAAACAATATTTGTTAATTTTCACACACAAAAAAGTGATTTTCCTAACGAATCTATTCAAGCCCATGTTGCAAAAATGCACCTCAATTATAATCTAAAAAGAAAAGCCACATTTAAGATTAGAAATGTCTAATGAACAGGCGTTCAACCACTGGTGAGTCTAATGATTCATCTAAGAGGTGTCCAGCAGACACATTTAATGCTGTCAGCAATGGCTCCACATGGAAGAGAAATGTTACAAAATATGAGAAAGGAAATCATTTCTTTACACAAAAAAGGTGAGGGCTACAAAGCTTTGCGTATCAGTCACAATAACAGTAACAAAAGAGATCCAAAAATGTAACAAAAATGGAAGTGCAACCATCTTACAGAGACGTCCAGGCCGTCCACTGAAGTTAACATCTGGACAGGAGCGTCTTCTGATGAGAAGGGTTGAAGAAAGTCATCATGCAAGTTAACTGCAGTTAGCTAAAGCAGTAGAAAGCCAAACTGGAGTGACCACTTCCTGTGACACCACATGGCGCATACTGCAGAGAAATGGCAAGCATGGGTATCGTCCATGAAGGAAGCCTCTCCTGAAGCCCATGCACAAAAAAGCAGGCCTTTATCTACCGCTGACCTGTCTGGTGAGTTCCTTCATCTGCCTGATGCTGTTTGTTCAATAATGTTCTCTAACAAACCACTTAGGCTGCCATAGAATACATGTTTATGATGAGAATTACACACAGGTGGACTGTGTTTTCTAATAATTGACTTCTGCAGGCAATTGATTGATTGCGCTGGATATAATTTAGGGGTATCGGAGTACAGGCCCTGAATACAAAAGCATGCCACACCTTTTAGATTTTCATTTGCTTAAAACTTTGAAAACCCTTCATCAGTTTTGTTCTCCCTTCGCAATTATGTGCAATTTTGCATTGGTCTTTGACAGAAAACTAAAAAAAATATTAAGTTTGGAGTGTTTCAAAGTTCACTGGGTGTACTTTTACAAGGCACTGCATGTCTGCACTGAAACCTCTTCTCTCTTTCATTATGAAGATCTTCCTAGAGACAGGAAGTGACCATGAGTCTCAGCATGCTTGACACGTCCGTGAGGTCCGCACGGCTCCGTGTGGAAAAGTTGCGTCATTTTAACAACCACGCCCCTCCACCGCGTCTCCGCACGGCTCAAGATTTCCGCAACGTGCACCTCGGAAATTTTCTAACCACGCGGACGGACGGACGCGGAAAAACATGGCGGACCGGCAAGAACTAGTATGGCAGAGGTTGGTAAATACAGACATTTGTATGATTCAGCTCTCAGAGATCACCGTGATCAACATGTTGTTAATAATTCTTGGAGAGAAATGACTCGCACTGTCGAAAAAGACGAGAACGCTGTTAAAAATGCTGAAATGCTGTGTTGTAAACAGTAATTTCTTCTTCTACTATGGTGTAGTGTTGGATGCATGCTGTAGAGCTCCATGCTGCCCCGTTCAGTTTGGGAGAATATTGGCTCACCGCAGTATGGCAAGCCAAAACCGTCACAATACGCCACTTTCCCAACCCGTCTAGTTAAGAAATGGCGAAAAAAACGCCGTTTGATGTGCCAAGACGTCGTAAAATACGGCGAAAACTCTGCCAGAACGCCGTAATTTACGCCGTTCTGAACGGTCCCGTAGAACGCCCGTAAAATACGCCGTTTTTTCCGGACATTGAACGCCGTTTTTTACGTCACCCTAATCCCAGACGCGTTCTCTGTGTGGGTGGCGTAAAATACGGCGTTTGGTACGGACATTGAACGCCGCTTTTTTCGCCGTTCTGTGACATAAAACGCCGCTTTTAACGCCACTTTGTGACAGTTTTAACGCGTTTAAAATTCAACTTTACTCTCATTTATGCAGAGCCCTCCCCATGGGTTTCTCATCCACTTAATTTAAACTTCAGTGACCCAATGAAAGACGAGGAGGTTGAGGCAGCACTAATTCATCCCAGATTCGCCGGGCTGTCGGGCTGTGCGGATTGCTGTTTTCTAATACAACTCGGCTCTGTTTCAACTAATTTCACTGTATTGAAAAAGCCTTGAAATGTAGTAATATTATCAACAATGTGTCAACATTATTATTTTTTCTGTCCACCTGTAAAAGGCAGAAACGCTGTTTCAGTCAGACCTGATGATTACTTAAAAGTGTGGCTGCCGTATCAGTCTGTCCTCGTGGCTCGTGAGTCCAGCTGAAACATCAGTGCTCTTTCTGTCCAAAACTCCATTCTTCTTAAGTTCATCCACTTTCAGTATTTACTATTGTGACAGTGTGTGCTGTCGCAACGTCCCGATTGATCATGCGCCCTGGCTACTTGGTCAAGGGACTGTTCCTTTGGCTGACTGGTTAGAGCGTATGACTCTCACCCGGGAGTCTGGGGTTCGAATCCCGCCCAAGCCCTCATTTATCCACCTGGCCACACTATTGTTTTTTTTTTCGTTTTTTTTTAACGACTGTTATACTTGTCTTACAGGAGCTTCTGAAGATGTTCTGTCTTGCTTCTCCATCATCACTCTCCAGCTCCTCAGACCAGCCACTCCAGAACCTTCCCAGATCCAGGATCAGAGCACTTTAATTAAAGTTTGAAACATGTCTGCTTGTTGTTCTCCTATAGAAGCCTTAAACTAGAATTTGCTAATGAGCTTTCTTGGCTAAAATATGCTCTTAAATGTTTTTATTTACATAATCAAGAAACACGTTTTTCATTGCTGCTTCACCAAGACATGACTGAAAATGTCCTCATGATCCTGAAACGCTGGTTAAAACAAATTACTTTTAACCTCTTATAAAACAAACGTGCCTGTTGATGATTATGCCACTATACTGAAGCACCTGCATACTTGCTACCGATTTGCTAACTTTCTGTAATATTTGATATTTAAGTTAAAAACATGAAATGCTGTAACACAAATTCCAAATGTTCTAGTTGAGCACTTGTTTCTACTCAACTAATCATTATTTCTGTGATTAGTCAGCTTTTTCCTTTTCAATAAACACATGGAAAAATTACAATTATCTTACTGAAAAATGGTTTAACAGTGTTGCACATGTATAATAATCTGCACTGGTTTTCACAGTTACGGCATTCTTCAAACTATAATAATAAAATAAAGTGAAAAGATATTTACAATTGATTACTTCAAGTTCCTACTATTTACATTTTATGCATCGATACTGTAAATGGCTGTTTACTAAGGCATACAAAGTCAGTGCCTGTACACAGGTAGTTTGCTTGTAAATCTACATATTTCTGTTCTATATGATCCTGTATTCTTCATTAATGCTACTTACAAATCCACGAGTCTGTAGAATTGCCTTGTTTATTTGAGCAGGTATTGAACAATCCTTTTAGTTATTAACAAGTTGAGTGTGTGCTTAAGAGGAGTTTAAAAGTGTTAGCCTTAGAAAGTAGATGAGCCTCTCCCACAAACCACATTTTTTTTAATTTAGGACTTTACGGAGTGTGCTGAAAGACAAAATGAGGCTGATCATCTCCATTTTTACAGGAGGCAACCCCCTGCTTACTAGGCAAGAACCCGTATGAGAACATTCCACTGACTTTGTATGCCTTAGTAAACAGCCATTTACAGTATCGATGCATAAAATGTAAATAGTAGGAAGTAATCAATTGTAAATATCGTTTCACTTTATTTTATTATTATAGTTTGAAGAATGCCGTAACTGTGAAAACCAGTGCAGATTATTATACATGTGCAACACTGTTAAACCATTTTTCAGTAAGATAATTGTAATTTTTCCATGTGTTTATTGAAAAGGAAAAAGCTGACTAATCACAGAAATAATGATTAGTTGAGTAGAAACAAGTGCTCAACTAGAACATTTGGAATTTGTGTTACAGCATTTCATGTTTTTAACTTAAATATCAAATATTACAGAAAGTTAGCAAATCGGTAGCAAGTATGCAGGTGCTTCAGTATAGTGGCATAATCATCAACAGGCACGTTTGTTTTATAAGAGGTTAAAAGTAATTTGTTTTAACCAGCGTTTCAGGATCATGAGGACATTTTCAGTCATGTCTTGGTGAAGCAGCAATGAAAAACGTGTTTCTTGATTATGTAAATAAAAACATTTAAGAGCATATTTTAGCCAAGAAAGCTCATTAGCAAATTCTAGTTTAAGGCTTCTATAGGAGAACAACAAGCAGACATGTTTCAAACTTTAATTAAAGTGCTCTGATCCTGGATCTGGGAAGGTTCTGGAGTGGCTGGTCTGAGGAGCTGGAGAGTGATGATGGAGAAGCAAGACAGAACATCTTCAGAAGCTCCTGTAAGACAAGTATAACAGTCGTTAAAAAAAAAAAAAAAAAAAAAAAACAATAGTGTGGCCAGGTGGATAAACGAGGGCTCGGGCGGGATTAGATCCCCAGACTCCCGGGCGAGAGTCATATGCTCTAACCAGTCAGCCAAAGGAACATAACCCTTGGCCAAGTAGGCAGGGCGCATCATCAATCGGGACGTTGCGACAGCGCACACACACACACACACACACACACACACACACACACACACACACACACACACACACTGTCACAATAGTAAATACTGAAAGTGGATGAACTTAAGAAGAATGGAGTTTTGGACAGAAAGAGCACTGATGTTTCAGCTGGACTCACGAGCCACGAGGACAGACTGATACGGCAGCCACACTTTTAAGTAATCATCAGGTCTGACTGAAACAGCGTTTCTGCCTTTTACAGGTGGACAGAAAAAATAATAATGTTGACACATTGTTGATAATATTACTACATTTCAAGGCTTTTTCAATACAGTGAAATTAGTTGAAACAGAGCCGAGTTGTATTAGAAAACAGCAATCCGCACAGCCCGGCGAATCTGGGATGAATTAGTGCTGCCTCAACCTCCTCGTCTTTCATTGGGTCACTGGAGTTTAAATTAAGTGGATGAGAAACCCATGGGGAGGGCTCTGCATAAATGAGAGTAAAGTTGAATTTTAAACGCGTTAAAACTGTCACAAAGTGGCGTTAAAAGCGGCGTTTTATGTCACAGAACGGCGAAAAAAGCGGCGTTCAATGTCCGTACCAAACGCCGTATTTTACGCCACCCACACAGAGAACGCGTCTGGGATTAGGGTGACGTAAAAAACGGCGTTCAATGTCCGGAAAAAACGGCGTATTTTACGGGCGTTCTACGGGACCGTTCAGAACGGCGTAAATTACGGCGTTCTGGCAGAGTTTTCGCCGTATTTTACGACGTCTTGGCACATCAAACGGCGTTTTTTTCGCCATTTCTTAACTAGACGGGTTGGGAAAGTGGCGTATTGTGACGGTTTTGGCTTGCCATACCGCAGAGACGAGCCGCACAAACCATAAACGCTGCGAGTTGTGAAGCGCGTTCCAGCCGCGAGCCGCATCACCGCGCGGAAAGTGAATGCGTCAAGCATAAACCACTTGGGGTTGGGGGGTGTGCTCCACACAGAGTGGGAGGAGGAGGAGGGTTGATGCAGAATTCATGAGACACCAGAGAGGAGGAGCAGTCATGTCTGAGCAGAGTAGATGAGATTACAAAAGAAGGTTTTAGAATCCATCTTTAGTTGTGAGTGAGTCAATTTCAGGTTGCTGCTGCACAGAGAAGATGGAGAAAGGAAGGAGGAGAAAGAAGGAGAGGAACCTTCTGTCACCATAAGGGAGTTTCTCAGTGTTGACTCTTCTGTGGACGTCCGACTACAGCAGCTTGTTTTAGGAAGGAAACAAACTGCATGGTGACTTCAGCATGCAGAGTTCACTGGAGGAGAGTCAGGATGATGGAGGGAGGAGAACGAGGAGCAGTGAACTGATGAAAAAAAGAACAGAACAGAGCAAGGTGGAAAGGGACACACTGATGATGGAGCTAAACGGGATGGTGCAGAAGATGATAAATGAGAGCAGCTGGTGGGAAAGGAGGGGGGTAGACTGCAGCATCCTGATGGCAGCATTCGTCAGTCTGCCGACTGGTAAGAGACTTGTCTAAAAATAATGGAAACATAATCTGAATTCCTAACACTCATTCAGCAATACCTCTGCTGCTAAACTGTTATTTTTATTGCTTCACTCCACTTACCCCCATGTTCTCAAAACAAAATAAAACAATTGATTATTTTTATTTATTTTTTATTTTTTGTCTTCATGTCCTACTTAGGTATTCCTGTGAAATTCACGTTTATATAACAACAATTAAATGTATTTTATATTGTGTATAACTACTATGATGAGTATGTTTGATATATAGCTTCAACAACACTATTTAGCTGAAGATGATGTTTGCAGAAAAAAAGTACTGAGACTCATGGTCACTATAACCACAAGAAGTGCACTATGGATGGTAACCAACATTGTTTTGTCAAAGTCATTATGGTAACAGTGTTTCCTAAAGATCACTATGGTAACCACTAGAAGCTCATTAAGATCATGGTAACAAACAGTGTTTTCTAAAGGTTGCTATGGTAATCACTAGAAGCTCATCGGGGTCACCATGGTAACCACTAGATGCTCATCAAGGTCACCATGGTAACCAACATTGTTTCATTAAAGAGCAAGTCACCCCCTACCAGAGTCTAACTCCACTCCCACTTCATGTTTGAAAAATGCAACAAATGTCGTTGCCAGGCAGACCGAGAGGGCGGAGCCGCTAACAAATACACACACACTCAGGCTCACGACAGCAATGTGACATCATAATGTGCCAGTTTACATCATAGCATACCTCTTAGCCAACAGCGGTGGCAGATTTAAATTCAAATACAGTGCAGAGTTTTTACCTGACAACGGCACAACACTGACAGTTTTAGGCAGAATATTTAAATTTTAACTAAGATGCACTGAAGTGCCAAATTATTGACGACACGTGTCTACAGCACGATTAGACACTCGCTTATTTAGTTTATAAGCAAAAAAAGTTGATTGGGGGTGACTTGCTCTTTAAGATCACTATGGTAGCCACTAAAGGTTGAATAAGGTAATCCTGATAACCCCTGACCACCCACCTGTGTCTCTCACTCCCTGTGGGTAAACTCAACGGTTCAGACTGAAAACGTTCAGACTGAAAAGTGCTGAAGATTGGAACTTATTTAGAAAAACTGTTTGGACTGAGCAGCAAACAGCTCTAAACCAAAACCCAGTGTGTTCAGAACTGATTCTCCCTAACAGCTGTAGAGCCAATTCAATTCAAGTTCATTTATAAAGCGCCAAATCATGACAAGAGTCGTCTCAAGGCACTTCACATGAAAAACATTCCAATTCAGGTCAGTTCATTAAGCCAATCAGAAATAATGTTTCCTGTATAAGGAACCCAGAAAATTGCATCAAGTCAATGACTAGTGTCAGTGACTATACAGCAATCCTCATACTAAGCAAGCATAAAGCGACAGTGGAGAGGAAAACTCCCTTTTAACAGGAAGAAACCTCCAGAGAATCCTGGCTCAGTATAAGCAGCCATCCTCCACGACTCACTGGGGATCGAGAAGACAGAGCAGGCACGCACACACACACACACACACACACACACACACACACACACACACACACACACACACACACACAAAGACAAGTAGTGTGTCTATAGTTATATTGTGATGTCTTAGTAAATTTTCTATTTGGTGAGAGATAAACTTTATTGTATTTATCCTAGTGGATCTATAATTAAACGGATAAACTAGTAGTAGCACATCCAACGTCAAGGAAAGCAAAAAAATTATTATCAGGAGAGGGAGAATGTTTTAGTGGTTAGCAGCAGTGTGCTAGACGATGGCCCCCTCCATGAGGCCACCACAGCTGTAGAGCCTCTCTTCTAATTCCCATTTCTCTGTGTGACCTTATCAATCATCTCACATGAACGCTGACCTTCTCAGAACTTGGTTGAAGGTTGTTTGGGGTCTGAAAAAGTGGTTTTGATTTGTCCAACAGCCTTTCTGCAGCTGGGTTCCTCTCAGCCACTGTGGTTTTCTTTGGGTGTGATGTTGGGAGTAGCTCATGCTGTCATCACCGTCAAAGGGACACATCTGGCGAGCCACAGAGCGTTGAGCGAATCACAGGTCTGGGGGAAGTTTTGGACCACCTTCTTCATCGAGGTGAGGTAACATGATCCTTCTGGGCAAGTTGATCTGGATCTGGTCATCACTGAAAGGTAACAGTATAAAAGTGAAACAGATGAGTAATTTGTTTAAGATGAACTCGTTTTTGACAGCTACATGTGTGAATCAAAACAATATTTGATTTCACTTATTAGAAAAGTTCTAGAAACAGAAGCTGCCCTAACCCGTTTCTTCCAGTGAGGTTTCAGGTAAACTGATTTAAACTTCATTTAAATCTGTTGGGACTGTTCAGGTCTGCAGCTCATTCTCCGCTGAGGCTGGAGTCCACGGGCACATTAAGATGCATCACGCTCATACTAATGTGATTGGGCTGGGGGACTCCAGCATCTGGAAGGTTTCCTTGCTGCTTCGGATCATCTACCTGTTCATTGCTCCTCTGGCTCTTCCCGTCATCACACCACTCGTGGCCTTCGGTGAGACGGGCAAATGCTTTACTCAGAAACATTACCTACCATAGTCTGAAATCACCTCCTCTGTCTCCATGGTGGGATGAGTCTCATGTTCATGTTGGTGTTTACTGGTTTTCAGCTCATCTGAAAGGACGTGCGTTGGTTCTAGTGATCAGGACAGTTCTGATGGTTGGGCTGGGTCTGTATTCACAGCTCTGGCTGCACATCAACGTGTCTGGGTTCAGGTCCATGCACAGCGCCCTGTTCTGCATGCTTGCATGCAGAGCCATGTTCTCTGTTCCATACATCCATGTCAATATCTTCCAGGTAAGAATGCCATCTCTGCAGAACAAAACAAGGTGAGAAAACTCCATGTCAGGTTTTCCTTTTACATTAAAATATCTTCTTACCTGTTAAAGAAAACAAAAAGTCTGACTTTATAGTTATATAGTTAAATTTTTTATTAAATGTCTGAAAATAATGTCTGTATGTTTTTAAATTCATAATTTTGGTCGGTGATGATTCTGCCTCTCGGACTGCTGGACAAAGGTGGGTGAAGACAAACCGGTCTGAAGGAGTCTGAGCTGTTGAACACACTCAGAACAGTTTACTGGCTGAATCAGGTCTTATATGCAGACGTGTTTTTCATTTCAAGGAAGAGAATTCTTAATGAGGAAAATCTTAATTTGTGTCAGAGAATCAGCTGAAACATAAATTGAATTCATACAATGAAAGTTCACATAAAAACAATCTCTAAAACAATCAAATTGGCGTATATTAACCAGGATTTTACCTGGTTAAATGAAAGTTCACTAAAATGAACAAAACAACAACCTAAATATGGAAAATTGTCAACTAATGATTATTCTGTTATGATTTCAACCCATTTCACTGAAATTGAAAACATCCATCCATCAACTACCATCCACTTATCCAGGGTCGGGTCGTGGGGGTAGGAGCCTAAGCAGGTTAGGCCCAGACGTTCCTCTCCCCAGCCACTTGGGCCAGCTCCTCCGGGGGAATCCCAAGGCGCTCCCTGGCCAGCACAGAGACACAGTCCCTCCAGCGATCCATCCTGGATCTTCCTTTGAGTCTCCTCCCAGTTGGACGTGTCCAGAAAACTTCACCAGGGAGGCATCCTTACTAGATGCCTGAGCCACCTCAACTGGTGCCTCTCGATGTGAAGGAGCAGCGGGTCTACTCCGAGCTCCTCCTGGATGACCGAGCTTCTCATCTTATCTCTAAAGGAGAGCCCAGATATAATGCGGAAAAAAACCTAGTTTTGTTCTGCAATCTCATTCTTTCGGTTACTACCAAGCCTCCAAAATTCGGGTCTGAAAATGAAGCCAATACGGAAGTGAGAAAAATTGCAGTTCCACCCTCATCCGCTGGGGGGCTGGTGTCAAAGCGAGCAAATCCTCATTGACTCCCATGTTAAAAATACCAATTTCACAGCAGAAATAAACATGTTTACAGCCTGGTTCCAAAACATGTTTTTGGTTTAAATTATCTAGTTTACACTCATGACAACTCTGAGGGGGGTGAATTTTTTTGTCACTCTTCTGTTTAAGATTTACTCTCAGGTGGAGAATCAAACATCTTAGGTGTGTTCTTGCTGTGTCTTTGTAAATCCATGCTTTCGTTCTTTTTTTAAACACAGAAACAGTTTTGTTTACCTGTTTGTAGCTACAGTTTCGCCGACAGCTGCCGGCTTCTTCAGGCTGATGCTGATGGTGTCGCGTCACTTCCTTCTCCGTTTATCTGCGGGCAGCAGAGGACGTTGTCGCCCTCTACTGCCCGCTCTCCCCTCTCCGACGATGCAGTCCCATGCGTGGTCCAGCGTGTAAACTCCGTCGTCCCTGTTCATGGTCCCACATCCACGTCTCCTTATCTCGATTGCTTCCTTGATCCATCTTTTGTATTTTTGTTGTTCGGTGGTTATGATCCGTGTGTTGTCCCAGTCCATTATATGGTTTTCTCTTATGCAGTGATCTGTTACGGCTGACTTTTTTATTGTACTTTCTGCTTCTTCTTTTGCTGCTCTTGTGTGTTTACGATTTGCCTCTTTCTCGCACTCCTTTCTATGTTCTATTGTCCGTGTATTGAGTTGGCGTCCGGTTTCTCCTATGCATGTTTTATTGCATATTTTGCATGGGATTTCGTAGATGACTCCACATTTTTGTCCAGCTGATATTTTGTCTTTTGGGTGTACTAGTCTGTTTCTAACTGTTGTGTATGGCTTTGTTGGTGTGTTTATGTTGTGTTTTTTCATTGTTGCTCTTATTTTTTCCGTTATGCCTCTGATGTATGGTAGGGTTATCACTGGTTTTGGTTCTTGTCTTTCTGGGTTTCTGGTTCTTTTTTTGGGTTGTTCTTTGCTTTCTGTTTTTGTTTGTTGTTTTCCTTTGTTTATTGCCCATGTCGGGTATGTGCAGGTCTTTAAAGCGTGTTGTATGTGTTTGTCCTCTTGTTTACGGTCTCTCTCTTCTGTTATTATGTTTGCTCGGTGATATAATGTTCTGATTACTGACATTTTGTGTATGGTGGGGTGTTCTGATGTCTATAATAGATATTGGTCTGTGTGTGTTGGTTTCCTGTATGTGTTTATGTTTAGGGTCCCGTCGGTCTGCCTGGTGATTTTCATGTCCATAAATGCTATGCTGCCTTCTGTTTCTAACTCATAAGTGAATTTTATGTTGCCCGTGTCGTCAATATTGTTTAAGTGTTGTGTTAGTGTTTCTGTTTGACCTTTTGGTATGATTTCCAGTATGTCGTCTACGTAGCGTTTCCATAGTTTTATTTTGCAGTTTGGGGGGGCGGTGGCTATGGCTTTTTGCTCTAGGTTTTCCATGAAAAATTCGCACAGGGTGGCTGATAACGGGTTACCCATGGCGAAGCCTTCCAGTTGTTTGTATATTGTGTTGTCGTATGTGAAGTAAGTGGAGTTAGCTACCAGTCCTATCAGTTGTGCTATGTCATCTGCTGTGAGGTTTGTCCTTTTTTGTAAAGTTTTGTCTTGTCTGATTCTGTTAACTACTATGTCTATGGTTTTTTGGGTTGGTGTTTTTGTGAACAGAGATGTGACGTCATGTGAGATGAGTATGTCGTTGTCTTCTATTGTAATTTCCTTTAGTTCTTTTGCCAGTTCTATGCTATTTTTGCAGTGTTGGTCTGTATTTCCTAATAACGGGCTGATGATTCTGCTGATATCTTTTGCCATGTTGTATGTTGGTGTACCTATGCTGTCAACTATTGGTCTAAGTGGAGTGTTTTGTTTATGTATTTTTGGCGTTCCATATATTCTTGGTGTTATGTTTGCTGTGGGAATCCAGTGTTTGTACATTTTTTCTGTTATTTTGCCTTTTTCGTGCAGTGGCTTCAGTAATTTTTTCATGTTTTTCTTAATGTTTTCTGTTGGATCTTTTTTAAGTATTTCATATGTATTTTTGTCCTCTAGCATCTGTTTCATCTGTTGTTTATATTTTTCTCTGTCCATAACTACTGTGGTTCTTCCTTTATCTGCCGGTAGAATAATTATCTGTTCATTTTTTGGATAAAGCTGTCATGGCTGATTGTTCTTCTTTTGTACTATTGCTGTGTTGAATTTGGCTGTTTTTTAATATCCCAACTATGTTATTTCTGAGTTCTGCTTTCTTTCCCTCATCTGTGATCTGTTGACATGCTAGTTCTGTTGCTACAATAAATTCATCATATGGTATTTCTTTTGGTGTGACTGCAAAGTTTAAACCTTTCTTTAATATGCTCTCTTCTGCTTCTGTTAGTTTGTATTGTGAAATGTTACATACCCATGAGTTTGGTGTGGAGTTGCCTTGTATTTCTCCCCTCTTTTTCTTGTTTATGAGTCTGTTTAACTTCTTTATGTGTCTTTCTTTTACTTTTATGAACTCTTGTTCCTGTTTTTCCATCATGTGTCCTTTAATTAGTTCCTCCATTTGTTTATCAAGTTTGTAATTCCTTTTCAAGTCCAGGTGTCCTCTTTCCAGTTCGTCCTCCACACGCCTCTGTTTGGTTATGACGTTCCTTATCCTCTCCTTGAGCAGTGCTCTCTGTGCTCTTTCTATTATATTTTGTGCTGTCTTGGTCCGGATCGATGTTTTCAGCTGTAGGCTTGTGGGTGTGATGTTTTCGTCCCGGCATCTTAAACAGAAGCGAAGGTGGTTTCTTAGACGAACAGGGACGACGGAGTTTACACGCTGGACCACGCATGGGACTGCATCGTCGGAGAGGGGAGAGCGGGCAGTAGAGGGCGACAACGTCCTCTGCTGCCCGCAGATAAACGGAGAAGGAAGTGACGTGCCACCATCAGCGTCAGCCTGAAGAAGCCGGCAGCTGTCGGCGAAACTGTAGCTACAAACAGGTAAACAAAACTGTTTCTGTGTTTAAAAAAGAACGAAAGCATGGAGCATCAAAGCTTCTGCTTTTAATGCCACACCTGATACTTAAAACTTTATTGTTGTTTTTTGAATGCTTTGTAATTTTGACCGGACACAGAGACAGAGGTGGAAGAGAAAAGAAGAGACAAAAAGAAGGGGGGGCACGAAAATAAAAAATCTATGATGAACAGGGGTCTGCTTCTAGACCTGCAGAAAAGGGACACACAACAATACAGCAGGAGCAAGCTATCATTGCATCAACTTGATGAAGAAATATAAAATCAACATTGTTTTTCTGAACAATCATACGATAATAAATCACAGTGCATTAAGTGCCAACCATAGCCTTAAGACGTGTGTTGAAAATGCCCAAGTCCATACTTATGAGAGCACCATGTGAGTACCTGTGTGTGTACACGCGCTTAAGGTTTCTCTATAGGAGCATCCAGTAGAGAGTGAGGGGCCACATCTGCCCCAAATATGTGTAGGAGATGGAGGGACCTCCACGTCCCAGAGATCCAAGAGCTGCCCCAGAGCACAGGGACCCCAGGGAGACTGCAACCAGAAAAGCCCCTGCCCCTTAAAGTCAATCTTTGATCTGTCAGCTTGTTGGGTTCAGACCAGGTGAGCATTTCCAGGGCTGTCATTGCTAAGTGTTGGAAGTCTACCAGCAACACTGTGGATTCCACAGTTACCATGAGGGTGATGTCCTAATCGTCTATATATCGGGGGATTGGGTCTTTGATCTGCTGTTCTATCTAAAAATGTATTATAAGGCATGGGAGTGATACTGTCATCTAGTGGCGTGTTTGTGTATTGTTACTGTGATCAGACTTTTTTTTGTCGTAGCTCACGTAGCGACTGTCTCTTCCACATCTCTTTACTTGTGTGAAGGCTTTGTGTGCTTATTATGACAATATTATGTTTGAGTTGAAGCATGGAAAAGGTTTCAGAAATATGCTAACATCAATTATCAGGGTTTAATTTCACTTCTAATGTATGCAGAAATCTGTCAATGTCAAATTACCAGTTTGCTATAGCACAGCCTTTTCTAAATAATCAGAGATCTACAGTTTTAAAAAAACAACAAAAAAAAGCTCATTTTAAAATGAAGTCTTCAATATTTGCTGCAAGTAGCTTTTCTCATAAAAGTTATACATTTTATTTAGTTTTAACCTGACCTTGGATGAGCGGAAGAGAATGGATGGATGACATTTATCATTCCCATGTTCAAACCATGCCACGCAGCTTAAATACATTTAAATATATATAAAAGTATACTTGGTGTACCCAGATGAAATAATCTAAAGTTAAACTGGGACATGGTTTTCATCATTTGATTTTATACAGGAAGTTGCTCCAAAAGACACAAAACCACAAAAGCAATGAATTGGACATCACTTCCTGTTTGACTAATTGCTAATTGTTTACCACTAGAGTGTTGCAGCATCAGATGTTATTTACAAGTGTGTGAAGTTAGTTATGCTAAAATTTTAAATAAAAACAAGACACAAAAACACACAAATTGAGAACAAATTTATTCAAAATGAAAAGCCCATTCTTCCCTTTGATTAGAGCTTAGATTTCACATTCATGTTTTCACATGTGAACATAAAAAAAACCAACTCCACATGTACTGGTGTAAATTCTCAGTCAGGATGTGGTTTTACTGAGTGCTTGGAGGAAAGGATCTAAAAAGCTACTTCAGAAAAAGGAGTTTTTTTTAATTCTTTCAATCACTTAGAAAAACCTCACCCAACTTCCTGCACCTGCTCCCTAAAGAACAGCTCTGATCTACAACTACGTTAGCCGGATCAGAATAATGCAAACAATACAAACACACACCTTTGCTTTAACATAACTAGTATTTAGAAAAAAGGAATGTAAGAATAAAGGATTTGATTTATAAAGCACTCAATGCACTTTCCATTATTCATGCACTCACACGCTGCTGGTGATGGGAAGCTACTACGTAGCTACAGACGCACTGGAGCAGTCTGACAGAGTTGGGGCAGCCTTGTGCATCATCTCTAACCACCAGTAAGCTGAGTGAAGTGTCTTGCCCAAGGACTCAACAGCAGAGTACCCTGGTGGGAGCTGAGATCACTCCTGCAGTAACCCGCTCTACCTCCTGAGTAAAGGACAGCAGTAGCTCAGGAGGGAGAGCGGGCTGTCCAGTAATCGGAGGGTTGTAGGACGGACCCTGGCAGAGAATGCTGCTGTTGTGTCCTTGGGGAAGACACTTAATGCCTGCTGGTGGTGGTCAGAAGGACTGGAGTTCGACAGCCTCACCTCTGTCAGTGTGTCCCAGGGCAGCTGTGGCTACATTGTAGCTCTTTACCATTAGTGTGTGAATGGGTGAAATTGAAGAGAAAGTAGTCTAGTATGGCATGTGCCTTTTATAAACAAAACAACAGCTCAAAAAATGACAAAGACTGGGTCGGACTTGGACTTTTACATTATTTTTTTTCCAGTTTTTGAGGAGTGAGCATCACCTCACCCCTGCTCCATGGAGCCTAAGGTAGAAACCATCAACTCTACTGATCCATTCACTCGATAGGACAGCGGGAGGGTTTGCGGGGTTTTAGGACAGCTTTTTACAATCAGAAAATATTCTTTAGGCTTCTATAAAGAAAATGAAACTTTTTGGTGACTTACAATGGCCTAGGAGCCTTGATACCTAGCTAAATACAACCACATAACAAAAGCCTATGATTGGTTAGCCCCGCCCACTTGGCCAGAACATAAATACTACATGAGCTGTGTGCTGATAGGCCAGTTTACCCAAATGGCTCTACACCGTTTCCTGAAGCTAGAAACTGTACAGCTGTGTATCATATCTGGATAACTCAACAGGCAAGCTATGGCTCTACCTGGCATTCAGCTAGTCTGGACATTCCCAATACATCCTGGAACGTTGGGTGTTCCAAAATTATTCTTGGTTATTTTCATCTCTTTCAACTAGAACATCAGTGGTAGGTTGGGCTAGCATTAGCAGTAGCTCAGGCTAGCGCTGTTCTATGGTTGGCATTACCGTGACCAGCATTTATATATTGCCGATGCTGCAGTGGGTTAGGAGATGCAGATTTAGGGTGATTTTTCTGGGATTATGACATATTAAACCAGCTTTTATCAGAACAAACCATTTCTTTGTGGCCTTTACAACATTACTAATTTGCATAGGAAAGCAGGTCAGAAATGGCACCGACTTTTGGTATGCTACATTAGACACCCCAAGTCTAGTCTAGAAATCTAGACAACCATAACAGAAGCAAAAGGATTTTGCTCTGCAGGTCAGTCTAAGCAGGCTCCATTGGAGACTCAGCAAGCCCAAGCAGTTCTGTCTTGCCAATCACGGCGTTCTATTGGTTTGGTGGGAGGGATTAGCACCAGAGCTGCGAAGAAGCAAAACAACAAAGATGGCAGCAACTCATTTGAAACGGCTTTGGCATCAACTTTGGACTATTTAGACTTGGGCTTTTCTTTGAGTCAAGAGCAGATAGAGGTCCTTTATTTATAAAAATGATGCATCTGCATCCTCTTTGATAGTCTATGGAAGACGGTCACACGTCCACACGTAGCCGGGGATCTGCCAAAACGTAGATATTTTTCTACGTTTTGGCCTGTCATCCACACGAAAACGGAGTTTTTTCACACGAAAACGGATCTTTTTAAAAACTCCGGCCAAAGTGAAGATCTGCGTTTTCTCCGTTTTGGGTGTCTGCGTGTGGACAGACAAAACCGGAGTTTTAAGGTCCGCAACGTCACTCCTCATGGTTTAAGTCACCACTCTGTTTAGACTACAAATACTTCAGGGTTTTAAGGCGGTGGAAATGAACAACACATTCAACTATCACATGTACATTTTAGAGTAAGATGCACCAAAAACATGGTGTGAACCCAAACAGTGAGTAATGTTTGTGTTCTAGCATCAGTCTGAGGTCTCCATTTCCCCCAGTGTAAGATCCTGACACAAAGAAAACAATAAGTGCAGTAGCTCTGACACAAAAAAGTACAATTAAAAAGTATTTATCTCATTACCCATTTACTCAATCAATCAATCAAAGCTTTATTTATAAAGCGCCTTCCGCAACCCTGTCAGGACGCCCAAAGCGCTGAACCTTTTACTGAACCTAAGAAGAAGAGGTCACATTTTTGCAGATGTATTCTAAGGTTTTAGATGCAGCTTGTAAGTTAGATGAAAACGAATGCCCAAGGGTAGCTGTACTTGAGTGTTTTTGTTCAAAAACGAACAAAAACTCATGGTCAGGAGGATCACATCTGTTTAAAACCAACCGTCCCTCGGCTGAAAGGAAGGGTTGGGTTAACTCCCAGATGGTGGATGGATAAAATGTCCAGAAATGGTTTCATTATTTCTGATATTTGCTTTTCACTTCCACAGGTTCCATTATTTATTACTACTAGGTAACTCTAACCCTTCACTTCTCAATTGTGCAAAAAATCACATCAACAAAGTATTTAGAGCTCTTTAGTGTGTTTGTGCTTTTACAATCATTAAATATATTTTATATATTTATAGTGCCTCCTTCTTTGACCTGGTTTTACTTCTTTTATTCTTTTAAAATCCTATAAGATGTGAATTTGTTCTTTGTTTTGATCAAATGCATATTGATGTTATGCTCAATAATAATTATCTGAATCAGAAATGTTCATTAAACGTTTTTCAAATATTTAGCCCTGATGTTTTTAGTAAAGAGTCATGGAGATATTTTAGGTGAAGTGAGTGAAACAGATCGTTGATAATTCTCATTATCAAAACACTCATGAAATCAAATTAAAATGTAGTCCGAGTCGGTCTCCTCCAAATCCCCAGACCCACTGAAGTACCACCGTTTTTAGACTTCCTGAGCAGTCAGGGGAAACATCTCTACTCTGCCTTGGTTCTTTTGTCTCCAGATGGCTGCTTGAGGTAGGCGTCATAGAAGAACAAGGCAAACAGAATCAGGTAGCTGAGGTACATGAGTGAGCCCCACACCACGTTATCCACGTTGGAGGGACAGTGCACGTCGTGCATCCAGTGGTGCACCAGGCCCAGAACTGTTAGACCCATGGCCATCTGCAGGATCTGAGCGGCCGTGATGATCATGGCGCACGGCCGGGGCACGCGCACGCCGGCCGCACGCGCAGTGTAGTATGTGTACATGAGGGCATGAACTGTGTAGTTCATGGTCATGAACCAGCCGCCGCCCGCCACCTGGTCCTTGTAGGAGAACCAGGTGTAGAGCAGCACGGTGATGTGGTGGTACCAGTGGAGGAAGATGAGACGCTGCTTCCTCAGGACGATGAACAGGGTGTCTCCTGTGAGAGACGGAGATGAAGAGGTCATCTACCAGACCCAGAGCTTCATGTGGAGGCCATGTTGAAGATGACCTCCACCTTGGAAAACCCCTCCCACCCACTGCATCCTACTGTGGAGACCATGGACAGCTCCAGAGGCAGACTGAGACATCCCAGAAGCAAACAGAACACAACCCTAGGTCATTCATCCCCTCCTCAGTTTAAAGCCTGATTTATGCTTCTCCGTCTGCGTCAGTGCGGAGACACGCAAGGCCATTATCCGTCCTTGCGGGCCTGCCGGAGAGATCCGCAAGGACGGACGGAGTCGAGCTCTCTTTTCTAAACATCCGTCAGTCGAGACGGATTACGCAAGCTTGTGATTGGTCAGGACGCCGCTGTTGTTTACAGCGCCGCCATTGCAAAGAGAGCCGAGGATAACCAGCGGCAGACACGGGGAAGCTTGAAGAATACCTCGCGAAAAAACTCTAAAAATATGAACGTTTAATTCTCCCGTGACTGGAGGAGTGAAAAGATGCGCAGCAAGCGTTTTATTTGTGGACGGAAATGACAGGAAACGTGGGTTTAGAGGTGGGGAGCGCATGAAGCGGTGGAGGAGAATGAGAGACAAATATGTCCGTGTTAAAAGTCTCTTATGTACACAAAAAACACAATATAAACACACGATCTTGGACCGGATACATGACAGGATACCACAGAACAGCGCTACGCCCTCTGTGGTCCTGCCGGGGAATTGCTTTGCAACACTCTCCAGGAGACGGAGAAGTATGAGAGCAAAACGCTTCCGTCAATCCGTGCGTGTCTGTCCCTTGCAGAGCTGATGGAGAAGCATAAACCAGGCTTAAGCTGTACTGGTACTATCCTGGTACACAATAACACCAATGCAACATTCAGTATGTGTTCAATACTGGATTTACATAGTATGTATGTGTCGTTGGAACCCAAGTTTTTTCATTTTTATTCGTGGCTTTTAGCGTTCGAAGGTTATAATACTAGATTACCACCTATGTGTATAAATACATGTACCTTTGTTATTATCATTCAGATTATCCTCCTAAGTGTTGGTGCTGCTGTAACAAGTGAATTTCCCCACTGTGAGATCAATAAAGTCTATTCTATGTCCTGTTAAGGTTTACATTTCTAAGTTCTGATCCATTGTATTCTTTCAGCCCCTTTTCCATTGCAGAGCCATATTTAGACTTTGCTCAGATCACTTTTGACCGTTTCTGTGGAAAAACGTTTTCTTGCAGGTGACCGGTACAGTTTAAAGCCTCCAATGTAAAATACTGATTGATGCTGACTTGGAGCAATATGTATCTTTGTAATATTTCAGAGAATTAAACATTAAAACAAAATCTTGTGCGGTTGATTAAGGATCAAAACATAAACCTGAAATACATGCTTGAATAAGCCAGCCAGCATTTGTATGGGTAATTATAAATGATTGTAGATGCTTCTTTTAAAATTTCTCCCACTTAGCATTTCACAAGTATAACATTTTTCCCACGTCTGAATTAATCAAAACTATTGAATTGATTGACCAAAATAAACAAACTAACTCTGGTAGAGTGCATTTACAAACATTAGAGGCTAAGAACTTGGTAACAGAGAGAGAGAGAGAGAGAGAGAGAGAGAGAGAGAGAGAGAGACAGAGAGAGAGACAGAGAGAGAGAGAGAGAGAGAGAGAGAGACAGAGAGAGAGAGACAGAGAGAGAGAGAGAGAGAGAGAGAGAGAGAGAGAGAGACAGAGAGAGAGAGAGAGAGACAGAGAGAGAGAGAGAGAGAGAGAGAGAGAGAGAGAGAGAGAGACAGAGAGAGACAGAGAGAGAGAGAGAGAGAGAGAGAGAGAGAGAGAGAGAGAGAGAGAGAGAGAGAGAGAGGATAATAAACCAGTGAAACTCCATCATCTGTATGAAACAGCAGACTGAAGGTTGGAAAGCCCTTTAGCATGCAGTGGAGCAGCAGTCCGACCAGCTGGGAGGGGAGTCTTTTCTTCCTCCCTGGAGTTCTCGTTCACTAATGGAAATTTCTTGCCCCGTCAGCATTTACCTTCCGTAGAGCACTCAGCACCATCTGACCCACAGAAAGCTGGAGAATAGATTCCTGTGCTACATAACTGTACTCCAGCGATGCAGCTCTTCAGATAATGATCACTGAGTTGGTTGTAGAAAAAGTTCAGAAAAACATGACATCCTCATCTAGCATATAAGAGCTCGTCAAAATAAAAGCCTCACCCTCCCGTAATTACAACATTGTTAAGATCAGCTTATTCAACGTCCCATCGTACTTTATCCTAGATTAGAAAGTTTAGTCATGGAGTCTTCAGACACTAGGAAGGAAAGTTAGATTTTCCTAGAAAGGGGTTGTGTGGAATAGCTAAGAGACTTTGGAGAATCAGGGAGAAATCCTCATGAAACTAACAGCTATGTGTACGGCCCTTTTTGTAGAACTTTTCCTCAAGATCTGATAAGGCTTTCCTCACAGAGATGGTTTTGTCTGACTATAATAATGCTGTTTAGTTTCCTAATGACACTACTGGTCTTGTGTACCATTTTGGATTTATCTGATGCTGTCTGTCTTGATCAAATCTTCTATGGTTTTGCTTACTTTAAGAACGCTGTAATCCACCCACTTCTTAAAGAACCGAGTCTTGACCCCTCTCTCCATAGCAGCTTCAGACCATCTCTAAACTTCCGTTCATTTCCAAGATCTTGGAAAAGGTTGTGGCTAAACAACTCACAGCTGCTCTTGATGAACATAACATCTATGATAGCTTCCAGTCAGGTTTTCGTAGAGCTCATTCTACTGAAACAGCTCTTCTTAGGGTCTCTAATGACCTTCTGACTCACGCTGATGCAGGGGACTGTTCTGTTCTGGTCCTGCTGGACCTGACTGCAGCCTTTGACACTGTTGACCATCACCTGCTACTGGAGAGGCTGAGAGACTGGGTAGGCCTATCAGGATCTGCTCTGGAGTGGTTCTCCTCTCATCTCTCTGAGCGCTCCTTTTCTGTGGCCGTCTCCAAGTTTAGGTCCTCCACCAACTCCCTTACCCATGGTGTCCCACAAGGTTCTGTGCTGGGGCCTCTGCTCTTCCTCCTCTATCTGCTTCCTCTTCAGCACATCCTGAGCTCCTTCAAAGGAATCTCCTACCATCTTTATGCAGACGACATCCAACTGTACATCTCCTTTAAGCCCCATGAGATGTCTAAGCTGCAGCTGTTCCACACCTGCTTAGACTCTATCAAAACCTGGATGGCTGGGAGCTTTCTATAGCTGAATGAAGATAAGACTGAGATCCTCATCTGTGCCCCAGACAAGCTGGTTCCCAAAGTCAGAGACTCGCTTGGTCAGCTTACTTCTCACACCAAACCTTCTGTCAGGAATCTTGGTGTGACCTTTGACCCAGCTATCACCCTGGATTCTCATGTCAGTTCTCTTGTTCGCTCTTCCTTCTTCCATCTCAGGAACATTGCTAAGCTGAGTCCCATTCTGTCCCGCTCTGAACTTGAGACAGTTCTCCACACCTTCATCTCCTCACGCTTAGACTACTGTAACTCTCTTTTCACGTGTCTGAGCAGAACCTCCCTGGACCGTCTACAGGTGGTTCAGAATGCCTGTGCTCGGCTTCTAACCAAGTCCTCCAAACACACCCACATCACCCCGCTTCTCCTCTAGCTTCACTGGCTGCCAGTCAACTTCAGGGTTCATTTCAAGATCCTGGTTCTGGTCTATAGGGCCTTACATGGACAAGCACCATCTTACATTGGTGATCTTCTTAGTCCCTACACCCCCAGCAGGTCCCTGAGGTCCAGTGACCAAAGCCTACTGGTTGTGCAGCACCAGGCTAAAGACCAAAGGTGGCAGATCATTTGCTGCTGTGGCCCCCAGACTCTGGAGCTCTCTCCCCCTGAGCCTGAGATCAGTGGACTCAGTGGTCTCCTTTAAAAAGCAGCTGAAGACTCACTGGTTCAAGCTGGCTGTTGTATGACCTTCTTCACCACTCTCTTTATTCTGCTCTCCCCACCTATTCCACCTTCCTCAGGATCCACTGATTTCCCTCTTTCCTATTCACTCTCTCTCTTTATTAACATTTTTTTATCACAATTGTCTATTTTTTTGCCCATTTTAAATATATTTTTAAACATTTTCTAAATGCTTTTTTATATTTTTACATTTTTTGTTTTTGTGAAGCGCCTCGTGATTTTTATCTTGAGAGGCACTATAGAAATGATATTTTCTTCTTCTTCTTCTTCTATGGGAAACATATTTTATCCTAGAGCAGGGTTGGGGAACCCTGGTCCTCGAGGGCCACTAACCAGCATGTTTTAGTTGTTTCTCTGCTCCAACCCTCCTGATTCAGTGGTTCAATCACCTGTTCAGCTGCTCATTGAGCTCTGCAGAAGGGTGTTAATCACCTGCTGATTAAAATCAGGTGTGTTGAAACAGGGAAACAACTAAAACATGCTGGCTACCAGCCGTCTATGGACCAGGATTCCCCCCCCATCCTACAGCTATCACAACTGGTTATTAAAGGTCTAATAAAAGAGGTCTTACCCAGCTCAGGGACCTTGCTGATTGTAAAGGCGTACGCCCAGAACTTCGTGACAGGAGCTCTGAAGAAATAGTTGTCACAAACCGTCTGCTGGAAGCCTCGGTTTGAGAAAACGTGCAGCATGTAAACTCCGGTCCTGAAGGCTCCAATGATACTGAAGAGTAAACACACAAATACAGAAGAGTGGTAGAGATTCACACTTGGTTTAAGCTTGGACTCCTGCTGTCCCTAACCTTTTGAGGTGCTCCTAGTAATACTCCCACTAGGACCCAGACAGGTACCTAGAAAGGAAATGTAAACATCCTTCCATTTTAAAAGCTTAAACCGTTTAATCAGCTTCAGTAAAAACACCTATTGATTTATTTAAAGATCATTCTGTTAAAAATGTGATGTATTTTTATTATTTTGTTTTCTGTAAATGATTCTTGTCATTTTATTTTGAAATAAAAAAAGAAAGCATGAAATGTTTGTCAGATAATACTGATGACTTTGTGGGATGAAGGGGCATACCAACATGCTAATGAGGGATTTTATTCAACTCCTGTTCAGCAGTCAGCAGGGAAAACATATTTAGTCAGCCTCCAATTGTGCCTGTTCTCTCACTCGGGGGGGGGGGGGTTAGTGAATGACCTGCAGAGAGCTGGGACCAGAGTTACAAAGGCGACCATCAGTAACACATACGCCACCAGGGACTCAAATCCTGCAGTGGCAGATGTGCCCCCCTGCTTAAGCCAGTACATGTGCAGGCCTGTCTGAAGTTTGCTAAAGAGCATATGGATGATCCAGAAGAGGATTGGGACAATGTCATAAGAAAAAAAGAAAGAAAACAATCTATTATAGCACCTCTCAAGGTAAATAACGAGGCGCTTCACAAAAAACAAAAACAAAAATTAAAGAATAAAAAAAGATTTTATATAAATTATTACAAATATATTTAAAATGAGAAAAAATACAAATTGTGATTTTAAAAAAATGTGAGGAAAGGGAGAGAGAAAATGATTAGGAAAAAGGGAAATCAGTGGATCCTGGGCAAGGCGGAATAAGAACAGAATAAGGAGAGGGTGGTGATGAAGGTCACACCAAAACCAGCTTGAACATGTGAGTTTCCGCTGCTTTTTAAAGGAGACCACTGAGTCCACTGATCTCAGGCTCAGGGGGAGAGAGTTGCAGAGTCTGGGGGCCACAGCAGCAAATGATCTGCCACCTTTGGTCTTTCGCCTGGTGCGCTACACAACAAGTAGGCTCTGGTCACTGGACCTCAGGGACCTGCTGGGGGTGTAGGGACTAAGAAGATCACCAAAATATGGTCAGATGAAACCAAAATAGAACTTTTTGGTAAGAATGCTACTCGTCGTGTTTGGAGGAGAAAGAATGCCGATTTGCACCCAAAGAGCACCAAACCTACTGTAAAGCACAAGAGTGGCTACATCATGCTTTGGGGCTGTTGTTTCTGCTAAGGGACCAGGACGACTGATCCGTGCAAGGAAAGAATGACTGGGGCCAAGTATTCTCGGACTTTGAGTGAAAACCTCCTTCTATCAGGAAGGGCATTGAAGATGGAACATGATTGGGTCTTTCATCACGACCATAATCCCAAACACACCGCCCAGGTAACAAAGGGGTGGCTTCATATGAAACCTTTCAAGGTCCTGGAGTGGCCTAGCCAGTCTTCAGTTCTCAACGCCTTAGAAAATCTTTGGAGGGAGTTAAAAGTCCGTGTTGTCCAGCGACAGCCCAAAAACATCACTGCTCTAGAGGAGATCTGCATGGAGGAATGGGCCAAAATTACAGCAACAGTGAGTGAAAATCTTATTTAGATCTACAGGAAATGTTTGACCTCTGTCATTGCCAACAAATTATGGAGAAGAACTCTTGTTACTGATGCATTTGGATCCAGTGTGTACAGTGTTTATTTATCATTTAAACAGAGCTTTTAAACCTTAACTAAACCATAAAAGATCTAATTCTTCAATGAGGTCAATAAAACTTATCGAGAGAACCACAGTTACGAGACCTTACTTGCATTTTTATATTGGTTATGTAACCTTTCTTTTTGTTACTCTAAAGATGGAAAATAAATTTAAGCCCAAAATAATAACAAATTGTTTCTCACTGAATAAGAGGTGTGGAACACCCTGGACAGGTCATTAGTCGTACACTCACTTACACCTAGGGATGGGTACCTTTGACATTTGAATCGATTCGGTACTAATTCCCGGTACCTACGAATCGATACCGGTACTTAACGGTACCAATTTTCGATACTTTTGAGTGTTTATTATTTTAATTCTCTTTTATAATTAAATATATATTTTTCTCAATATATAACAATATTTGATAAATATCACGATAAATAACATTCAACTGTTTGTATTTTAACATCGTCCTTGTAGTTTTATAAGCTGATAATTAAACTGAAGCAAACATCTTTACTGTGAACTAAATTTACTGTGTATCTTCATTCCTTTTGCCGTCTTTTTTCATTTGATTTTTCCTACTGGGAAGTTAGAATTTCCGAGGAGAAAGCGAACGCACCATTAGCTGATAACAATGGTAGCAATGTAAGCTAACATATCAAGCTAACGTTATCTTTAACAGATTATTTAGCTGCTGGAGCAGATTTAAACGATGATGCCTCACACTTAAAACGTTGTCGCTGGTTTCATCTTCACCCAATCACCCGTCGCATTTAGTAAAGTGAAGCCAAACTTTAGAGCGCGTTCATGTTCTTCGAATCGGAAATTCTGAGTTCCGAGGAGAAAGCGAACACATCATTAGCGAAACGGAAGCTAACATATCAAGGTAACGTTATCTTAAACATTTTATTTACCTACCGGAGCAGATTAAGATGAGGATGTCTCACTTAGATCGTTGTCTGTCGCTGGTTTCATCATCACCCAGTTACCCATCACATTTAGTGAAGTGGACCCAAGCTTTAGCGTGCGTTCTTTCTACCATGCTGCTCTGTTTACAACTGGCTCACAGCGAGCGACGACAGAACGCTCTTGCGCATGCGCAGCTGTCTTGGCAAGTTCTCGTTATGAAGGACGGGTACCGAAACGAGGCACCGTTTGAAACGAAGTGAATCGGTGCTCGGTCGGTACCTTAAAAAGTACCAAATTCGGTACCCATCCCTACGATGACAGTGTTAGTTATCAGTAACCTAACATGAATGTTTTTGGTCTGTGGGAGGAAACCGATCCATGCAAAGCAGACCATGCTAACTCTACATGGAAAGGCTGCAGCCAGGTATTGAACCTGCAACCTTCTTGCTGCGAGGCAACAGAGCTACAGCGCGCTCCTAGAACATAAAAACAGAAACATTCACCAAAGAAGGGTGTAAATGTGTTTTTGCAGATTATGTGCGACTGACCTGAAGATGGCGAGGCTGAGCGACCACAGCGCTAACGGCCAACGCAGGTTCAGTTTGGGCCTTTCCCTCATGAAGTACTGACCAGCGAACACGAGCGTAGCGTACAGGCCACAGAACATAAATGACTTGCTCCTGCAAAACAAATAAAAACACTTGAAAAATGTAATATTTTACAATATAGAATTCAAAGTGAGTGTGCCAAGTAGCACGAATGTGCTATGAAGTAATAATAGCAGCTGGTTTCATGATATTTTAGACAAATGCCAGGCTGTAATTAATGCTAATGTTTCACCTGAAGGTGGCAGAGTAGTTTTGAAAACTAAATCATCATCTTCAGCTAATTGTATTCTTTTTTTTTTAAATGTGTATAATTAATAAAGCTTTGAAGGTGAGCAAAACCTGAATAATTCTACAAAGGTCCAAAAGTTCACTACATTTCATTTGCATTTATTTGGCTTGTTGTAATTTCTGACAAATCAGAACAGCCTGAAATTGAACAGTGGCCATTTATAAAGTACATATTACACTGGCAATGAAGTCTTGATGGTTTAGTCTGTGAAATGCATCATTGTGAAGGTCAACAATAAAATAGAGAATGTATTAACTCATTGATTCATCCTAGATTGGTTACATTTGACTAATAGTTTCAGATTAAACTAACAAGTTGTTTCCTACTGACTCGCAGCTTCTACTGACCGAGTTATTAAAGAGCAAGTCACCCCCTACCAGAGTCTAACTCCACTCCCACTTCATGTTTGAAAAATGCAACACATGCCGTTGCCTGGCAGACCGAGAGGGCGGAGCTGCTAACAAATACACACACACTCAGGCTCACGACAGCATTGTGACATCATAATGTACCAGTTTACATCATAGCATACCTCTTAGCCAATAGCGGTGGCAGATTTAAATTAAAATACAGTGCAGAGTTTTTACCTGACAACGGCACAACACTGCCAGTTTTAGGCAGAATATTTAAATTTTAACTAAGATGCACTGAAGTGCCGAATTATTGACGACACGTGTCTGCAGCACGATTAGACACTCGTTTATTTAGTTTATCAGCAAAAAAAAGTTTATTTGGGGGTGACTTGCTCTTTAAGAGTTTCCCTGTGAAATCATTGTGGAGAAAAAATCTAAATCTGATCCTCAAGCAAGATGTGAGCAAAGCACCTGGATCAGATACAAGCAGGAAGTGGGTTCAAAGGGAAGACCTTAACAGGAATACCTCTGAATAAATAATCCCATGCAACTGGTTGGAAATAATACTAAACTGGGAAAACAAAGTGGGTGTTTCTGCTTATGTGAATTTCCCCACTGTGGGATCAATAAAGTCTATTCTATTCTATGTATTTTCTAAAATTGAACAGTTTGTACCAACTATGTCACGGCTGCATTAGACTAAACAAATAGGAAATAAAAATAGCTTTACATAAATTAACCGTGGGAGGTCATTTCACATCTAGACTGAAGGACACAGTGTTCGGTCCTGGAGCAGAAACTGTGACATCATGTATTAGTTTCATCTGAGACATCCTAACGTATATAGTAGATCTAACTGATCTGATGCAACTCATCTCTTAAACGCAGCGTTTACATTAGTTTTCATGAATGGTAGATAGCTTCATTTAACCAGAATCGTTTGTTTCCGCAAGTGTTCCATCAGGACACAAAGTCCAGGCAAAGCCCGCTTCCCGCCCCTGTCTCTGAGTCGGAGCACACCGGCGTGTCTCAGCTAATTTATGTGCATTTCAGTGATTTCATTTCTTCTTATTCTGTTTAGATCTTCTCACCAGTTTTCCTGCATCCATTCTAGAGCTCGTTTCTGGTCAAACTGCTGCTCGAAGACAAAGCCGCTGAGCTCACTCTGGTTCATTTTCTCCCGCAGGAACTTCCGGGTGGTTTTAAGGCAGAAAAACGAACAACAGCTGAACTACTGAGATAAACGACAGGATTTGACGGCAGCGTGTGCGCTGGTTGCTGATCTGGTCTTCAGAGCAAACAAGCTAACCAGAGTGAAACGGTGCTATTCCGGTATGGACTTTCAAAATAAAGCAAGGCTGATTCATCAGCTGAACGCTTCATAAATATTTCTGAAACCAGAATTTCAAACACATTGTTGTAAAATTCGCAAAAAATAACACCGAAAAATAATCTGACATGTGTGTAAAATTACCTCAAACATACACAAAAGTAACAGAGACATCAAACAAGCACAAAGACTACGTGTGTGTGTGTGTGTGTGTGTGTGTGTGTGTGTGTGTGTGTGTGTGTGTGTGTGTGTGTGTGTGTGTGTGTGTGTGTGTGTGTGTGTGTGTGTGTGTGTGTGTGTGTGTGTGTGTGTGTGTGTGCAAAGATCCTGAATATATCTAGACTCTAAAAAGAACCTAATTCCATCCATCCATTTTCATCCCCTTATCCAGAGTCGGGTCGCGGGGGCAGTAGCCTAAGGCCCAGACTTCCCTCTCCCCAGCCACTTGGGCCAGCTCCTCCGGGGGAATCCCAAGGCATTCCCTGGCCAGGTGAGAGACATGGTCCCTCCTCCGTGTCCCGGGTCTACCTTTAGGTCTCCTCCCGGTTGGACGTGCCCAGAAAACCTCACCAGGGAGGCGTCCAGGAGGCATTCAGATGCCCGAGCCACCTCAACTGGCTCCTCTCGATGTGGAGGAGCAGCGGGTCTACTCCGAGTCCCTCCCGAATGACCGAGCTTCTCACCTTATCTATAAGGGAGAGCCCTGCCACTCTTCGGAGAAAACTCATTTCGGCCACTTGTAACCGTGACCTCGTTCTTTCGGTCACTACTCAAAGCTCATGACCATAGGTGAGGGCAGGAACGTAGATTGACTGGTAAATCGAGAGCTTCGCCTTCTGACTCAGCTCTCTCTTCACCACGACAGACCGGTACAATGCTCGCATAATTGCAGATGCAGCACCAATCCGCCTATCGATCTCACGCTCCAGTTTTCCCTCACTCGTGAACAAGACCCCGAGATACTTAAACTCCTCCACTTGGGGCAGGACCTCCTCCCTGACTTTAAAAAGCCATTCTACCCTTTTCCGAATCAAGACCATGGTCTCAGATTTAGAGGAGCTGATTCTCATCCCAGCTGCTTCACACTCGGCTGCAGACCGCTCCAGCGAAAGCTGAAGATCACGTTCTGATGAAACCAACAAGACCACATCATTTGCAAAAAGTAGAGACCTGATCCTTGGGCCACAAAAACAGATGCCCTCCACACCTTGGCTGCGCCTAGAAATTCTGTCCATAAAGGTTATGAACAGAATCGGTGACAAAGGGCAGCCTTGGTGGAGTCCAACTCTCACTGGGAACGAGCCCGTCTTACTGCCGGCAATGCCGACCAAGCTCTGATACCAGTCATACAGGGACCTAAAAGCCCGTATAAGAGGGTCTGGTACCCCATACTCCCGGAGTACCCCCACAGGGTCCCCCGAGGGATGCGGTCAAACGCCTTCTCCAAATCCATAAAACACGTGCAAATTCCCACGCACCCTCCAGGACCCCCCTAAGGGTATAGAACTGGTCCAGTGTTCCACGGCCAGGACGAAAACCACATTACTCCTCCCGAATCTGAGGTTCAACAATCCGACGGACCCTCCTCTCCAGGACCCCTGAATAGACCTTACCAGGAAGGCTAAGGAGTGTGATCCCCCTGTAGTTGGAGCACACCCTAAGGTCCCCCTTTTTAAATAAGGGGACCACCACCCCGGCCTGCCAGTCCAGTGGGACTGCCCCCGATGTCCACACGATATTGCAGAGCTGCGTCAGCCAACACAGCCCCACAACATCCAGAGCCTTAAGGAACTCCGGGCGGATCTCATCAACCCCTGGAGCCTTGCCACAGAGGAGCTTTTTAACCACCTCAGTGACTTCAGCACCAGAGATTTGAGAGGCCAACCCAAAGTCCCCAGACTCAGCTTCCTCACTGGAAGATGTGTCGGTGGGATTGAGGAGGCCTTCAAAGTATTCTGCCCACCTATCCACAACGTCCTGAGTAGAGGTCAGCAGCACACCATCCCCACTATAGATAGTGTTGGTAGTGCACTGCTTTCCCCCCTGAGGCATCAGATGGTGGACCAGAATCTCATCGAAGCCGTACGGAAGTCTTGCTCCATGGTCTCACCGAACTCCTCCCAAGCCTGGGTTTTTGCCTTGGCGACCACCCGAGCTGTGTTCCGCTTGGACTGCCATCACCCGTCAGCTGCCTCTGGAGTCCCACAGGCCAAAAAGACCTGATAGGACTCTTTGTTCAGCTTGACAGCATCCCTAACCACCGGTGTTCACCAGCAGGTTCGGGGGTTGCCACCACGACAGGCACCGACGATCCTGCGACCACAGCTCCGGTCGGCCGTCTCAACAATGGAGGCATGGAACAGGGTCCATTCAGACTCAATGTCCCCCGCCTCCCCGGAACATTTTGGAAGTTCTGTCGGAGGTGGGAGTTGAAGCTCCTTCTGACAGGAGACTCTGCCAGACGTTCTCAGCAGACCCTCGCGATGCGTTTGGGCCTGCCTGGCCTGACCGGCATCCTCCCCCACCGTCTGAGCCAACTCACCACCAGGTAGTGGTCAGTTGAAAGCTCCGCCCCTCTCTTCACCCAAGTGTTCAAGACATGTGGCCGCAGGTCAGATGAAACAACAACAAAGTCGATCATCGAGCTGCGGCCAAAGGTATCCTGGTGCCAAGAGCACATATGGACACCTTTATGTCTGAACATGATGTTCATTATGGACAATCCATGACTTGCACCGATGTCCAATAGCAAAACACCACTCAAATTCAGATCAGGGGGGCCGTTCCTCCCAACCACACCTCTCCAGGTCTCACTGTCGTTGCCCAGGTAAGTGTTAAAATCCCCCAGCAGATTGAGGGAGTCACCGGAAGGAGCGCTTTCCAGCACCCCTCCAAGGTCTCCAAAAAGGGTGGGTAGTCTGAACTGTAGTTTGGTGCATAAGCACAGACTAAAGTCTGAACCCGTCCCCCCACACGTAGGCGGAGGGAGGCTACCCCCTCATTCACTGGGGTAAACGCCAACGTACAGGCACCAAGATGGTGGGCAACTAGTACGCCCACCCCTGCTCGGGAGCAACTCCAGAGTGGTAGAAAGTCCAACCCCCCTCAAAGAAACTAGTTCCATAGCCAGAGCCATGCGTTGAGGTGAGTCCGACTATATCTAGTTGGAACCTCTCAACCTCACACACCAACTCAGGCTCCTTCCCCACCAGAGAGGTGACATTCCATGTGCCAAAAGCCAGCTTCTGTAGCCGAGGATCAGACCACCAAGGTCCCCGCCCTCGACTACCACCCGTCACACACTGCACCCGACCCCTTTGGCCCCTCCCACGAGTGGTGAGCCCATGGGAAGGGGGAGCCACGTTTCCTCTTCGGGCTCCATGGGTGAAAGCCCGGCCACCAGGCGCTCGCCATTTTGCCCCACCTCCAGGCCTGGCTCCAGAGGGGGGCCCCGGTGACCCACATCTGGGCGAGGGAACACGGTTTCCATTTATATAATTCATCATTAGAGGTCTTCGGGCTGCTCGTTGTCTGATCCCTCACCTAGGACCTGTTTGTCATGGGTGACCCTACCAGAGGCAGAAAGCCTCAGACAACTTAGCTCCTAGGATCATTGAGACACTCAAACCCCTCCACCATGGTAAGGTGGCAGCCCAGGGAGAGTTCTAATTTATTTCACATAAATGTAAAACAAGTTTAAGCAAAACATTTACATTCATTAACAGACACAGTTCTAAAATGCAATAAAGTAAAAACATAAATAAATAACAATTTGTTAAAACATTGTACTGCTACATGGTAGTGAAACATACAAAGCTGTAGTCAACAAAAAGCTGAGACACTTGTAACATTTTAATTTGACTGTATTAATGTCTCTTACATATCTTTTTAGTTTAATCAGTGGTGGATTTTATTGTGAAGGTTGACCAATTATTTCCGGTGTTCCCACAGGGGTATTCATGGAAAACAGATTTGTCATTTAGTAGCTAAACTGACTCTCCAAGTAGATATCTTTAAATCAGTTCTTGCACGCTGAACTTCCATTAGTCTTTTACACTATCAGTGTAACCCTCACATGAACTTTCTAGATCTGATTGTGGGACAAAGGACAGCAAGTCACAAAACTCAGTGTACAGTCATGCAACATATGTGAGATCTCTGATTAAACAGAAGATTTGCCTGAGAGTAAAGGTGGTCAGACCAGTTTAGAAAGAGTGCATTTGAGTTTAAACCTAAACCTAAAACTAATAATCTTACATGTCTCCTCTCTAAGAGGCTGAACAAGCTAACAAAGCTAGCTCAATTCTGGGCTGCCAGCTAGATTCAGTTGAGGAGACATGGGAAAGAAGGATGCTGGGGAAGATAGCCTCCATCTTAAAAAAAAACCTTCCCACTCACTGCATCCTACTGAGGAGACCATGGACAGCTCCTTCAGAGGTAGACTGAGACATCCCAGATGTAAATCAGAACACTATCGTAGGTCATTCATCTCCGTTGCAGTAAGAGTGTGTAACTCCTCAATTTAACTGGTCCTGGCATTATCCTGGTACACAATAACATCAATGCAATATTCAGTATGTGTTCAGTGATTGTTTAATACCGGATGTATTAGTATGGCTGTGTCCCTTACAGTGTGCTGCATAGTTCTGGAAACACAAGTTTCTATTTTTAATTGTTGTTTTTAGTGGTTGAAGGTTACAATAACTTACTGCCTTTGTGAGTTTACCCGTAATCTTGTTTTTATTTTATGTTTATGTAAATGTATTTAGCAGACGCTTTTGTCCAAAGCAAGTTACAAGTGATAATCGGCATGTTGCCCATCAGGCTAAAAACAACAATAACAACAACTTGACATCAATCATGGAGAGTAGGGAACAAGGAGTGGACAGTAGAGGGGGGGGGGGGGGGCAGATGCAGAGAGGGTGCTAGTTAAGAAGATGCTCTCTGAAGAGCAGGGTCTTCAGGAGTTTCTTGAAAATTGAAAAGGACGCCCCTGTTCTGG